ACCATATAATCTACTCCTGGACCATATAATCTACTCATGAACCATATAATCTACTCCTGGACCATAGAAACTACTCCTGGACCATAGAATCTACTTCTGGAGAATAGAATCTACTCCTGGACCATAGAATCTACTTCTGGACCATATAATCTACTCCTGGACCATAGAATCTACTCCTGGACCATATAGTCTACTTCTGGAGAATATAATCTACTCCTGGACCATATATTCTACTCCTGGACCATAGAATCTAATCATGAACCATATAATCTACTCCTGGACCATAGAATCTACTCCTGGACAATAGAATCTACTTCTGGACCATATAATCTACTCCTGGACCATATAATCTACGCATGAACCATAGAATCTACTCCTGGACCATAGAATCTAATTCTGGAGAATAGAATCTACTCCTGGACCATATAATCTACTCCTGGACCATAGAAATTAGTCCTGGACAATATAATCTACTTATGGACCATATAATCTACTCCTGGACCATATAATCTACTTCTGGACCATATAATCTACTCCTGGACCATATAAACTATTCCTAGAACATAAAATCTACTCCTGGACCATAGAATCTACTCCTGGACCATAGAATCTATTCCAGGACCATAGAATTTACTCCTACCATACCATACCATTGTATTTATAGAGCACTTTAAACAGCTACAAGGCCAACCAAAGTGCTGTACAGACAGAAAAACAGGTAACACACAAAGCAATATACAAATTGAGGTAAATCAGAATATAGACATAAAAATGATGCAGATAATAAAAATAACGACTAACCAGTGTGGAGCATACAGGTTCAAAACACAGATCATCTGGTGTTGAAAGCTACCAAATAGTAGTGGGTTTTGAAAACCGAGAGGGAGGGGGCCTGTTTGACAAGCAGAGGTAACTTGTTTCAAAGTCTTGGTCCTGCTACAGAGAAGGCCCTGTCACCTCTGCGCTTAAGACGAGTTCCTGGAACTGTGAGGAGCAACTGGTCCGCTGACCTCAGGAAATGGGGTGGGACATACGGCTGTAGCAAATCAGAGAGATGGGGGTGGGGGGTGGGTGGGGGGCAAACTGTTCAGCGATCTGTAGACATACATAAGTATTTTGAACTGGATTCGAAGGTGAACCGGTAACCAGTGCAGTGAGGCTAAAACCGGTGTAATGTGCTCTCTTTTGCCTGTACTGGTTAAAAATCGGGCTGCTGCATTCTGGACCAGTTGTAGTCGTGCTATGGAGGTCTGACTGATACCAAACAGGAGCGAATTGCAGTAATCAAGCCTAGATGTAAAGAATGCATGTATTACTGTCTCCAGGTTCAGCGTTTCCCCTAGATAACTTGCCATGGTGGGGCGCTCATCTCATCCGTGATTTTTGTTGGTGGTGGAGGTGGTGGGTTGGAACAGAGACTCGTCCTCAGCTGCGCAGCGTGCTGTTTAAACCAACAGTTTTGGGGGACACAGAGACAGCCGCGTTCTGTTTGTACTGACAGTTTTAGAGCAGGGTGTGTGAGAGGAGATAGACAGACATATCTCAGCCGCGCGATGTCTGAACAGTTTTTATTTTTTTGGCAGGGGGGGTGTCGGTGCGGGGGAGACAGACGCAAATCTGAGCCGTGCGTTGTTTTTACCGACAGTTTTCGAGTGGCGGGGGTGTGTTCAGCGTGAGGGTTCAGCATGAAGGAAGAGGCTGCCTTTAGCTTTTTAGCTAGTGCACCTGCATTGCAAGCCACTAGTTTAGTGTTACGTCAGTGCCGACAGGTGATTGGGGGTGGGGGGGTGGGGTTCGGTAGGCGGGGCGCTCGGTTCTGTTGACGGGGCGGGGCGCCCCGCTTGTATAATGGTAGGGGAAACACTGAGGTTATTTTTGGATAATATAGGCTTCAGTTTAGACAGCCGCCTCAGTTGGAAGAAACATGATTTAACAATCATGTTTACATGATTGTTAAGTTTCAGGGAAGGGTCCATTATTACTCCCAGATTAGTGACTCTAGTTTTTCTGACAGGGTTAGAGTAGAAATGTCGATGCAGTGGTTTGTGATTGTGTGATTGAGAGGGAACAACATGACTTCAGACTTCTTTTCATTGAAACTTGAGAAATTTAAAGCCATCCAGTCCTGATGTCAGCCAGGAAGTCGAGCAGAGGTTGAATAAAGTATGTACCATTGTGTCTTGGGGGAAGCAAATTTGACAGTCATCGGTGTAGAAATGAAAGGGTATGTTGTGTTTCCGGAAAATAGCACCAAGTGGCAGCAGGTATAAAGAGAATAGGAGGGGACCCAGGATGGACCCCTGCGGAACCCCCCCATTTAAGCTCTGCCGTTGCAGAACTAAAATCCTTGATGGAGACACAAAAGGATCTGTCAGCGAGGTAAGATCTGAACCAATTGAGGGCTGATCCTGTGACGCCCACCCACTGCTCCAACCTAGCAATGAGGATCTCATGGTTGATGATGTCAAAGGCGGCTGTGAAGTCCAATACGACAAGCAGCACAGAATCACCGGTATCTGTGGTTAAGAAGATGTCATTAAAAATCTTCAGTAGGGCAGTTTCAGTGCTGTGAAGAGGTTTAAAAACAGATTGAAATAGCTCTAAGATGGCGTGACACTCCAGGAAGCACTTCAACTGGGACTCAACTATTTTCTCCAGTACTTTAGAAACAAATGGGAGTTTGGAGATAGGCCGGTAGTTGGACACGACTGAGGGGTCAAGGTTTGTTTCTTTTCAGGAGAGGCTGGACGGCAGCATGTTTAAAGGATTTTGGCACCATGCCAGTGGATAAACTACTGTTTACTATATCAAGAATGGACGGACCTAGAGTTGGAAAAACCTCCTTTAGTAGTCGAGGGGGGACCACATCAAAGGGGGAGCCAGAAGGTTTCAAGCTGCACATGACCTGCTCTAGAGAAGATAGAGTGATGGGTTCAAAATGGTCAAAAGGAGCTACAGATTGAGGTGGGATGGATGGGTCATGAGTTGGAGGGGAAATGAGAGCCCGGGTGGTCGCAATTTTTTCCAAAAAGAAATGTAGGAAGTTGTCGCACAGCTCAGTCGAGGCTTCCAGAGGTGATGGTTCAGTGAGGTGGAGAACAGAGTTTAGGGTGGAGAAGAGGACACGTGGGTTGTGAGAGTTTGAGGTAATTATATCAGAGAAGTATTTGCATTTAGCAGCTTTTACTGATTTCTGATAACGGCGCCAACTCTCTTTAAGTATTTGAAAAGAGACCTGCAACCTGTCTTTCCTCCACTTTCGCTCCGCCCTCCTACATTGCTGCCTAACGGCCTTGGTGACGTCACTCAGCCAAGGTTCTGCTCAGAGTTTTGATTTTCTAGTTTTAACAGGAGCGACATGATCCAGAGTCTTTAAGCAGACGGAGTTGAACTGGGATGTCAGCTCCTCAGTGGTGGTGATAAACACTGGGGGATGAATTAGCATTTCAGAGTTATAAACATCTGTGAAACGTGCGGCAGTGAAGTGGTTAATGGCCCGGCTACTATGTGCAGGAGTGCACGGCTTAGGAGTTAGATGGGGGAGGGTGAACTCGAACTAAACTGGCATGTGATCTGAAAAAACATTATCACCAATTTCAAGATTACTAACAGTCACATCACGAGTTAAAACACGGTCCAGTGTATGTCCACACTCTTGGGTGGGACCGTTTACATGCTGAGTTAGATTAAATGAGTCCAATAAATCTAAAAAGTCCTTAACCAAGGGCTTCTCAGGATAGCACACGTGCAAATTAAAGTCCCCAATAATGAAAACATGCTCATATTTTGGTGTGATTTCAGCCAAGAAATCAGAAAACTCATTTATGAAATCCTTGGATCGAGGTGGGCGGTAGATGAGTGTGCATAAATTTGAAGGTGAATGTCCGAGTTCAAAGACGCTCAGCTCAAAGCTGGCATGGAAAACTGGGATGGGCAGTTGTTTACAGTCAAAAGTTGATTTGAATATTGTTAATAATCCACAACCGCGCTGGCCTGATGGTCCCGGGGCGTTAAAATACAGACAGTTCAGTGGCAATAATTCCATCAAGGCGCTGGACTCACCCGTAGACATCCAAGTCTCTGTGATGCAAAAAAAGTCCAAATCATGCTCTTGAAAGTAATCCCTGAGGATAAAAGTTTTGTTGGTAATAGATCTTTCGTTGACCAAACACATCCGGATACTGTCCAAAGAGGACCCAGCAGCGGTGGAAGGAGCACGAGCCAGTGGCCGCAGATTTTCAAAACAGCCCCTCCAGGTCCGCCCATGCGACACACCGGCTGACCACTCCCGTTGTTTACCTGGTCCGGGCACGCGGGAAGCTGGTGATGGAAACCATGACTAGGGCTGAGTACCGAACCGAGGTTCTTAAATGGCACCAACCGAACTGTACCGGTCGGTGTATGGATTGAAACGTCACTCTTTTTTCTGTGTCATGTTTCGGTATTGGCTGTAAGGTGTCACGCGGTTTCAGCATGCATGCAGGTAAAACACAGACATATGACAAACAGACTACGTGTTTACACCCAGAGCTGTATAGAGCTGCTGTACCTAATCTATGTATAATGTATGTCTATGGTGCTGGTGACGCCCACAGACGGGGTTCATGTGTGCAGCGTGTGTGCAGCGTGTGTTGGCGAACGGCTTCGACAACACACGAGCAGAAAGTTGCTCCATGTTTCTCTGCAAGAAGAGAGAAGGACAGCGGTCTTCCCCCTCCTCCTCTCAGCATTAGTCAGTCTGTGTGTTAAACGGAATCAACATTCCACGGCCGGACTCATCTTCATCAAAGAACTCCCGAGGACGGCTCTGTGTCTGTGTTTCAGCTGGTGAGTTTACGTTTGTTAACATTACTGCAGCTTAACACGTACATCGCGGTGAAATAACGCTAATTTTAAGATATTAGTGTGTAAATTTATTTTATCTACATAGCTAGCTAAGCTCAGAAGCTAACTAAAGATTGACAGTAACATAAATCTTAGCTTGTAAAACTGCTCGTCCTTACAGTCAGCTGCTTAAACAGTTCACTAATGTTCATTGTTTATGTTCATGTTCTCCTCACAGGAGCCTTTGATCCAGATGTGAGGACAGAGACAAAAGAAAAGTGAAGGGGGGGGGGGGGTGGGCACAGGACAATCACAGACTTTGTTAATAAAGTTTTCTGCTTTTTCTAAAGTGGAGCTGCATGGTGGAGGTAAGTTAAGCTGTAAAGGATTTTGTTACCCAGTTAAACCAGTATCTCTCAGCCTAGATAATGTTTTTTGATCAATAATAACACAACCATGTTATTGTTGTTGTTTTGTTCTCATGTCAATTAGGGAGATGATCAGAGCCCTAAACCCCAGAGATCCACAGAGAAGATTCAGGAAGAGACACAGAGGTGCAGAAGTCTCCATCAACCCTAACCTCAGTGAATCCAGTGACCTGCTGGTGGAATGTGAGGGACAATATGTCAGTGCTGTCAAACTGACAACCAGGTGTCTGTGTCAGAGTCAGAGATTCTTTATTGTCATTCGCACCTCATGTGGTACATGTGGTGGAGCGAAATTATGTACACAGGGTCCCAGTTACATCCAACAATAAAATGTATAAGAAAAACAGTAATAACATCTAAGATATGAACTAAGAAAAACATCAACTAAATATACACTAAGCACTCATAACATAAAACATTGAACATCAGCACAAACATGAACATGAGTCTGTGAGCAGATGTGCACGCATGAACACATCAACATTGAAACAGATCAGCAGCAACATGAAACAGATCAGCAGCAACATGAAACAGATCAGCAGCAACATGATATGGTTTTTCACAGTGATTATTCTAGTTAGAGATTCATGAGTCTAACAGCCTCAGGGTAGAAGCTGTTCCTCAGTCTAGTGGTTCTACACTTAATGCTCCTTAACCTCCTTCCTGAGGGGAGTGGGGCAAAAAGTGTGTGTGCTGGGTGGGTGGGGTCCTTCATGATGCAGGTGGCCCTCTTCCTGCATCTGGAGGTGTAGATGTCTGTGATGGTGGGGAGACTGATTCCAACAGATTTCTGTGCAGCCTTCACCACTCTCTGCAAAGCTTTTCTTTCTGCAGCTGTGCAGCCTCCATGCCACACATTGATGCTGGAGCACAGGATGCTCTCCACTGCACACCTGTAGAAGGAGGTGAGGACTGAGCTTCCAGACCAGCTCGCCTCAGCCGTCTGAGGAAGTAGAGTCTCTGATGAGCTTTCTTCATCAGGCTGGTGGTGTTGTTGCTCCAGCTGAGGTTGTCATTCATGTGTACACCCAAGTACTTGTAGCTGGAGACCACTTCCACCGCAGATCCTCTTATGTTCAGGGGGGTGTAGGTGTTTTTGTTCCTTCTGAAGTCCACAATCATCTCCTTTGTCTTCTTCACATTGATGTGAAGGTTGTTCTTCCTGCACCAGCTCTCCAGGTGTTGCACCTCTTGCCTGTAGCTGGACTCATCATTGTTTGTGATGCATCCCACCACCGCTGTATCATCTGCAAACTTTACAATGTGACAGCCTGGATGGGTAGCTGCACAATCATATGTGAGCAGAGTAAACAGGAGGGGGCTCAACACACATCCCTGAGGAGAGCCAGTGCTGAGGGTTATGGTGGAGGAGGAGAGGTTGTGGATCCTCACTATATCTTAGATGTTATTACTGTTTTTCTTTTTTTCATTCATTCAACCTTTATTTTTACAGGTTAATCCCACTGAGCCTCAGGGACTCGTTTACAAGAGAGACCTGAATTTAACAAATTGTGATGAAAACAGTGGACAACAAAGACAACAGCCACAAAAGAGGCGTACAAGTTTACATTTATTTTCTTTTTTACAAATCAAAACAAAATAGTAACCGAAAGCACAGTCAAAAGGAAAAGTAGCGAAACAACAACAACAAACAAAAACAGCTAGATTATAAGGCGGTGCAGAATTTTATTGTGGGATGTAACTGGGACCCTGAGTACACAATCTCGTTCCACCACATGTACCACATGAGGTGTGAATGATAAAGAAACTGACTCTGACTTGTCCCTGTGTGTGTGTGAGAGAATGGTTTGTCTCATGTGTCCCTGTGATGGACTGGAGACTGTATAAATAAAGGATATAATGGATGGATGGAACTCGAAATGACTTCCTGGTTTAGGCCCGTACGTAATGACGTCACGGCGTGGCGACTCGCAGCCGCATTGTTGTGGGGGAAGAGAAGCTCAGGCTGCTGGTGAGCCTCTTCCAGCCACCACTCCACCGTTCAAACGAGCCCTGTTTAATAACCCAGACACACCTGTATCTGCCGGAACCGTCACACCGTCGCCCTGGATACCTGCTGGTCCCATTCGGGTTCTACTCGGTTCGGCGCGAGCCACCGGAACAAGGTGAATGTGGATTGAAGTGGTGCCTCGCTCGGAAGGCCGCGCCGCCATTGCTGCCACTGAAACGAGCTGAGCTGGTGGAAACACGGAGGTAGGTTTCGGCTCGCTGTCTGCTCGGTTCTTTAGTGTCGGTCTAGGACGATCCGGGCGAGGTAAACCAAACCAGCAGCCCGCTCCAGTTCGAGAGAGAAGCCCCTGGTTGTAATTGAAGCAGTGCTTGTTGTGTGTTGGTCGCCATGTTTCCTCCCAGGCCTGGCTGCGGGCACCGCCGTGTCTCTGCTTCCAGCCCGGGCCACACGTCACTTATCACGGCCTGGCCTGTGGCAGGTCCAGGAGCTGCTGTCAGCGGCTTCAGTCCGGGTGGAGGAGCCGGTCGCAGGGTCACTGCTGCCATTCAACCGGTGGACCCCCCCCCGAACTGTTTATTTAAATGTCCCAAATGAACCCGGCGTCATCAGAGCCTTGTTGTTGTTTACATGTGCGTCCCTAGTTGTCAACAAAGAGCTGAACAGATGTGTCTGCAGCACCTGGTTCTCCTCCATTCACCTGAAAGTGCTGCTTTAACTGAGGAACACCCTGAAGCTTGTTTCATTCAGCAGCTCTTTACATTTCTCCTCAGGTGTGGAATAATGTGCCTAATACCAAACGTGCTCAGGAGAAGCTTTCTGTCTCCATGTCCGTCCAGTCCCGTTTTTATAAGGAAACAGCTGTCCTGACCTCCTGATGCATGATCCTGCCCTGATCCTTCATAACCGCAGCTGTGATGCTGTTATCGGCTGAAAGCTGTGTCTGAATCAAGACGAGATGTTTGACAACATCGTGTAAGAACATCAGTGTTCAGCAGGAAATGTTTCTTTCATCCCTGAGCCAGGTATTCTCTTCATTCCAGCAGGTCATTAAGCTCAATCGTTACTACCGGTAGTTGTGTCAAAGCCCGACCTGATCTGCTGCTTTTATACACTTTCTAAATGTGTTATTGATTTGTTGAGTTTTCACATTTCGCTCTCCCAGTACCCCCAGCTGGGAAACACGGCCTTCAGTCCTGCCCGGTTGTGTCAGAAATGTTTGGAACCACATTTAGCACGTTTTATCTATAACAATGAGTCCTGTAAACAGTTTTGGGTATGTTTTTTATGTTGCTGTGTGTTTAAAGTACTTCTTTATATCAACACATTTGCTCGTAAGCATTTTAAAGTCATCATTTATGTTTGAGAGAGTAAATCATCACGTTGTGTTGAGCTGAATGAACTCGTGCTGTTTTAGTTGAAGCTTTTCAGGACAAGCTGATGAAACACGCTGGCTGAACAAGTCGTTCGTCTTGTTTTGTCTTTGTGTGACTCCAGGATCTTCACAGATTCAAAATGAAGAAAAGATGCAAAACCCGGCGCTCTGCTGCGTTGAAGAGGGAGGCTTCTCCCATCAAGCCCTCTCCCAACAGGGAGACGCTCACCTACGCTCAGGCTCAGCGGATGGTGGAGCTGGAGGTGGACGGCCGAGTGCACCGCCTCGGCATCTATGACAAGCTGGACGTCATCGCCGACGAAGACCCCATAGCCCAGGAGATCACCGAGTGCAACAGCAACAAGGAGAACAACGAGAAGCCCCAGCAGGTCCTGGTTCGCTCCGTGCGCCTGAAAATTAACCAGCAGAAGAAGAAGCCTGCTCTCTCCACGCCGCACAGCAACAGCCCTAGCAACAGCACCGGCAACCTTCTGGAGCCAAAAGTCAGGACGGTTGAATACAATCTGCCGGTGGTGCCAAAACGGCCGTCACTTTATTACAAATACACAGAGAAGACGGCAGAGGAGCTGGACGAGGAGGTGGAGTACGACATGGACGAGGAGGACTACGCCTGGCTCGAACTCATGAACGAGAAGAGGAAAAGTGAGGGTGTCAGCCAGGTGTCCCACAACCTGTTTGAGTTCCTCATGGACCGCTTTGAGAAGGAGTCCTTTTCAGCCACTCAGGGTCAGAGTGACCTGCAGTCACAGGTGGACGAAGACGCCGTCTGCTGCATCTGCATGGATGGAGACGGAGCCGACAGCAACGTCATCCTCTTCTGTGACTCGTGCAACATCGCCGTGCACCAGGAGTGCTACGGCGTGCCCTACATCCCTGAGGGTCAGTGGTTGTGTCGCCACTGCCTGCAGTGTCCGTCGCGGCCGGCGGAGTGCCTCTTCTGCCCCAACCGAGGAGGAGCTCTGAAGAAGACGGACGATGACCGCTGGGGTCATGTGGCGTGCGCTCTGTGGGTGCCTGAAGTCGGGTTCTCTGACACGGTTTTTATCGAGCCCATAGACGGGGTCCGCAACATTCCTCCTGCCCGCTGGAAGCTCACCTGCTACCTGTGCAAGGCCAAGGGGGCTGGCGCTTGTATACAGTGTGACAAAATCAACTGCTACGCCGCCTTCCACGTCAGCTGCGCCCAGAAGGCCGGCCTCTTCATGAGGATGGAGCCTGTGAGAGAACTGAGCCAGTCCGGTGCCAGCACCTTCTCTGTGAAAAAGACCGCCTACTGCTGCAGCCACACGCCGCAGGGCTGCGACCGCCGGCCCCTCAACATCTACCACGAGCCTCACCCCAAAAACGGAGCCTGTCCTAAGAGGTCTGACAAGAGGGGCAAGGCTCGGTCCAAGGGCTGGCACAAGAAAAAGATGAGGAAAGCAGAAGCTGAATGTGAGACCCCAGCTACCTGTGGGCCTAGCATCACTGCTTCAAGGTAAGCAGGCAACAAACACACACGCAGGATGCTGTTTGTTGGTGTGTCCCATTTCTTCTTGGTGTTTTGGTTTGAACTAGTTTGTTTAAAGCTGTAACTGCACATAGAGGAAGGGATTTAAAAAACTCAGAAGTAAAAGTGAACCTAGTGGTTAACATCTCTTGTGCTGTAGTTTCGACACGATCCTGAACCAAGTGGCCGTTCAGAGAAAGCGTCAGTTTGTTGAGCTGGTTCTGAGCTACTGGGGGCTGAAGAGGCAGTCGAGGAACAACGTCCCCCTGATCCGCCGGCTGCAGGCCAACCCTCAGCCCTCTAAAGCCCGACAGCACGCGGTAAGTGCTCCGCCTGCAGCCAGGCTTCGTGCTGGATGTAGACGTGTTCAGTAACAGTCCTGCTTTTCCCAGGACCGCGTGGAGACGAACCAGGCGCTGAGAGAGCAGCTGAAGGTGTGGCACCGCCTCCGCCACGACCTGGAGCGCGCTCGACTCCTGCTGGAGCTCATCAGGAAGAGGGAGAAGCTGAAGAGGGAGGAGGTACAACTCTGGCTTTCTTTAACTCAAGCCTTCATTAATAACATTTATTATAAGGATTATTGAGCACAGACTGTGGTTTTTATTAATAACATTTATTTCCTGACTGTTTGTGCGGTTCACTTGGGGCTGGACTGTGAAACAAAAACCCTCTGATGCTCCGTCAGTGAGTTCTTTGACCCGACTTTGATCCACCAAGACCTCAGCTGCTCTGACATTTAAACAGAGAAAACACAAGACAGGCTATCTTACAGACTGGCTACCTTACAGACTGGCTACCTTACAGACAGGCTACCTTACAGACTGGCTACCTTACAGACTGGCTACCTTACAGACTGGCTACC